CAGTGGTGTTCTCGTTGTTATTTCTTGTCCGGCCAGAATGCTTGAAACGGTATGTATGTACAGTTAGATTGTGTATTCTGTGTACGGACCATAGAGGTTCAAGCTCTTCCCATCCCTCAAAATAAGTCCAATCCGTGTCCGTCTTACGTATTACCAATAACGTTGTGTGCATTGCGGGTTTGGCAGCGAAGTCCGCTTCACCATGTTTCGTTGTACTATGATGATGATGACTTAATCCTCTGCTTCCGTATGTTTGTTATGAAAGTACGTACGGCAGTTAGCCTTGATATGCGGTCTAATGCAAACATTGCACACCTTTACGTCTTTATCGTACATTGTCAGCTGCCTGTCATGATGGCGCACCGTATGTGCTTTGTGGACGCATGGCTCAACGGGAGGATGCTTTCTTCCGACGCTCGGAGAGTGCTTGATCTTTGTCCGGACTGTATTCCTCCGTACGATGATGACGGTAATTTGAAAACTGAAGACGGATTCAAGTACTTTCATGGCATAAGAGAAAATGTTAGATGATTGATTATGTTTCCGATACGGAACAAGAATCTTTCTGTATTACTTAGGGAGATACACATCTCTTCATCTAATCACCATCGCTTTCGTCCAGCGGCAGGCTCAAAACGTCCAAATGTACTTTTTCTTGCTGGTCCATGTACAACCCTCTGCTGATGACGAACCCATAACAAGATTACCAATGGTAAAACTTTTCAGCATCTTCCCATCAAACAACGTAACGGTAAACTACCGTCAGACACTCACCATCCATCACACAACACCCTTGAAATTCCTATCTCAATTATGCGCATGCTCTATGTTCAAGCTCTTATTTACCTGTACCTCTATATCAATTTTGCTCTGCTATATTTTACCGCTTGTTCATAAGATCAAAATTCACACGGAATTACATAATTGCTTGTTTAGTTTGAAAACCTAATGTTTGACTTGTTAAATTTTATTCTGTCCAACTCTGTAAATTTTAAATCGGTATATATGGTGCAAAATGCTGGAAATTCACCCATTCGGATGCAAAAAGCAATCACTGACTGACTTACTGCAAACTCTCTGCGATCTCTGTGTAAGCCGGTAAGGATTCACGAACTTTTTCCATATGCTTCCGAAGATCCTACGGGTGAAAGAGAAATCAGACCATTAAGTCAAAGTTTATATAACTTCCGTAAGGACGACATATCAGAGGAGGGAAAACAGATAGTTTATTCACGATTAAAGTACCAAGTGCACAACTCTACCGTCTCGTTTTGTGCACACTTGTTTGCTTAGTCCTGTAGCAAAATGTACTTAGGTCTCACGGCTAAGTGACTGCCCGAAACGGATTCGTCAACACCGGAACGATTGTCACTCACCAGTGCAGTGGTCTCAGCCCAAGCTGAAACAAATCACATCGGGGAAGTGATCCAGGCGCTCCGACCCCAGTTAGTGTTCAACATTCAAGACAGGTTAGCCGTTAGATGTTAACCACAGCAAAAGCGGCCGCAAGAAGTTTGCATAAGTCCCCTCTGTCCCAAATCGACTTACGCGGATGCTTAAGCTCCTTTGGTCTACCCTCAAACACTTGACAACCCGAGTAACCTCGACGATCGGACGGAATCAATACCAATAACCTGTGATGTCAATTTTTCTTCCCCCCCCCCAA